CGTGTGCCACCACTGCCTGACCAGCCAGTGCTCTTAACCACTGAGCCACCACCCCAGCACCTTGCACACTTCTTGAACACAAAGGACAGACATGTTTTGAAGGGGCTGGAGGGGGGACTAGAGCTTAGAAGTTTGTTGTTATTAATATTTACCTTTAGGGGGCAGACTCTGATGCAGAAGGCCTTTTGTGAGATATGAACCAGTGAGATTTGAACAGAAGGAACATTGCTCTTAGGGAAAGATGACTTTTCCTCTCAGCAATGCCTTCTGGGTCACAGGGAAGATGTATGTAATTCCTTACCCTGCACAGAGTGTTTGACAATGCAACTCTACACACCTGGCCAAGCTGAGGCAGGCTGAGGACATGGATGAACCAGAAATTAAAAACAAATTGTGGGGCAGAGGTGGCACATGTCTTTATTCCCAGCACTGGGGAAGCAGAGGCAGGTGGATCTCTGAGTTCAAGGCCCAGCCTGGTCTACAAAACAAGCCCCAGGACAGCCAGGGCTACACAGAGAAACCCTGTCTCGAAAAACCAAGAAATAAAACGTTAAGTACATATTAAAAATGTGTGTGGTTTCTTTTTCTCCCTCCACCATGTAGGGCCCAGGAATAGAACTCAGGTGGGGGTGGAGGGGTTGGGGGCAGGGGTGACATGGGAGGGACTTTACCTGCTGAGCTATGTGCCTGGCCCCAGAAATGTTTTGAAGTCTTTCTTGCCCTAAGAGACCATTCTATGTAGACTCTGCATAAGAGGCCATGTGCATAATTGTAGCCTTTCTGCAGGAAAAGGCGAACAGCTGCTGCTAGTTTAATCACATCCAATTTGGGTGGTATTTATTGAGCCTTATGTGTAAGGGACCTTCTTCACAATGTCCCAGCTCCCCCTCCACAACACTCACCACCCACTCCCCCCACTACAAAAATCTGATCATAGGATTCCCAGGCAGTGGAAGCTTCCAGACAGCTGCCTCAAAAAAGCTGTGTCCTCCAGGTGGCCTGGGAGGGAGGCGTCAACTCCAAGGGCGATGTGGAAGGGTACATGCTGGCAAGGAGAGTGTTGTTTCCAAATGGGGGATGGAGGGAGGCAGACAAAGAAGAAATCTGCTGACCTCAGGGATCCTACTTTCTCTTTCCTGTTTGCAGAGGATGCTGGGAAGTGCCTGCTTCCTCCCTTGAGCCCATGAGCTTGCTTCTCTCAGAGATGACAAAGCAGAAGCATACTTTTGGTTTTCTAAGGTTGGTGCCCCTCACATACTTTGGCTTCCCAGAGCAGGATACTGTGATGAAAGTCAGACAGGGTTTCCAGGGTATCAGTAAGGACTCTGATGAGGAAGGGAAGGAGGCTGTCCTCCTCATGTCTGAACATACTGCCTTCTCCTTTTCCCTCCCTGGATGTTCAATGATGTTCTTTTTTTTTTTGTTGTTTGTTTTGTTTTTTGAGACAGGGTTTCTCTGTATTGTTTTAGAGGCTGTCCTGGAACTCGATCTGTAGACCAGGCTGGCCTTGAACTCACAGAGATCCACCTGCCTCTGCCTCCCGAGTGCTGGGATTAAAGGCGTGCTCCACCACCGCCCGGCCTCAATGATGTTCTTGCAGCATTCTGAATCTGGGATATTGTAATGTCTGCAGTGGCTTTGGACCAGTCAGAGGTAGCTAGGGACACTGGCAAAGTAAGAAGAGAAGTTGGGAGGGAGGAAGCCTGAGCCTAGAGGTAGCCTCCCCCCACAACACTTTTTGAGACAGTGTCTAACTATGTAGCTCAGGAGGTTAGCCTTGATTTTACAATCCTGCTTCAGCCTCTTGAGGGTGGGCTCTGCAAGTATGTGTTACCATGTTGGGCTATACCTTCCCTTCATTTGGTGTAAAAAAAAACTACTTCAAAAATGACTTCCGGGACAAGGATGGTAGCCCATGCCCACAACCCCAGCATTTGGGAGGTTGAGGAAGGAGGATCTGGAGTTTGAGTCCATCTTGGAGCTACATAGTGAAAGACAGTGGAGAAAACTTAAACATCTATTTTTTCCTTTGAGATAGGCTCTCATGTAGCTCAGGCTGGTCTTGAACTTGATATGTAGTTGAGGCTAGCCTTGGATCTCTGATCTCTTTCTCTCTCATCTTCTAAATTCTGGGATTATAGGTGTATACCTAGTTCTAAATTTCCTTTTAAGTTTTAGTCAGGCATGGTGATACACTTCTTTAATCACAGCACTCAGGAGGCAGAGGCAGGTGGATCTCTGGGAGTTCAAGGTCACCCTTGGTCTACATATCAGGTTCCTAGGACAGGACAGCAGGAGCTACATAATAGAGACTCTCTCTCTCTTTCAATCTATATCTATATCTATATCTATCTTCTCACAGTATATTCCTGTATTCCTGGCTGACCTGGAACTTGCTGTGTAGATCAGATAATCCTGAACTCAAAGATTTGCCTTCCTCTGCCTCCTGAGTGCTGGGATTAAGGTGTGTACCCCCACATTTAGTTTAAATTTCTTATTTCTTTTTTTTCAATTTTTTTATTTTAAATAGCTTGTTTTACATGTCAGAATTTCTTATTTCTTAAAAAATGAAAATCATAGTTAGGCAGTGTTGGTGCACGTCTTTAATCCCGGCAGAGGAAGAGGCAGATGGATCTTGGAATTTGAGGCCGGCATGGTCTGCAGAGCAAGTTCCAGGATAGCCAGGGCTACACAGAGAAACCATGTTTCAAACAAACAACAACAACAAGAAAAAAAAAAAAAGAAAGAAAAAAGGAAAGAAAAGAAAACCATGTACTTCAAGAGCAGAAATTTCCCTCAATGGGATAAAAACCATGAAGCACATCCCCCAACCCCCACTCTGACAGCCAGGTTGGGACAGACAGATAGACAGAATGTCTGTTCTCTCTGCCTCATGTGGGCAGGAGAAAGCTACAGTGGAAGACACAGCTGGTCAGAGCCACAGGCTTCTGCAAAGGCAGGAGTGGTAAAGCCTAGGCTATGGGATCTATAATTGGTTAACGAATAATAATGCCAAAATTGGATATTAACAGCAATTAGTTTCCATAGAAGCACTAGGGAAAAGAGCTGCAGAAAAGCCCACTGGGCCTTAAAACCCAAGCAATCTGAAATTAAAATAGTGTCTCAATTAAATGGGAATAAATATTGCCACATGAATCTATGTACTTGTGGGAGGGGACTGCCTATGGGAAAGTTTTTGCAGGCCTAGCTTGAGTCAGTTGCCTTCTAGGCCTTGCATATAACCTTGGCGGGTCAAGTAGCTCATGTATGACCTTGAAACCAAGGTCTTAAGGTCATTTCAGTTATTTGGCTTGTTGGCCCCAGGAGAGTTGCTTACCTCATTAACTGAATCCAGGTAGGCCCAACAAATGAGGAACATTAGGAATTTCATTCTCTGTATAAACAGAGACCTTGTTCTGTCCCTGCAAAGGCTACACAGGGCATCTAGGTTTGGGAAGACTAGGCCAGGCTTCTCTCTCCCGCTGACTCAATTCAGTGGTTCCATACCACTGGCAGCTGATCTGGTATCTGGGATCAGCACTGCCTAGGGAGTGTGTTCTTCCAGATATAGGATTTTTGTTGTTGTACCTCATTTAGAGCATTAGGTGGATTGCTTAAACGGGTATGAAGATGTGGGGAAAGATGCCTCAATCTTGGTCCCATCATCTTGTGTACCAACGCTAGACTAGTATCGGGGATGGGCTTGCAAAAAGAACAGTCTGGGAAGAGCCTCCAGGATAATATAGTTTCACTGGAGGGTCCACTGACCACTATGTGACTTTGCCTGGTAGTGTCCTCCCCTTCCTCACCCTGGCTACACCCACCCCCAGGAATAACTGCTAGCCAGTCTTGCACTCTCAGAGCCTTTTCTGGGTTGCAGGACAGCACTATCCACAGGTCTCTGAGAGGGGCCCAGTGGAAAGGACAGGCAGGTCTTGGGCAAGGCTGTGAGGTCTGGGAGTGGCAAAGGAGACAATACACTGAGCTGAGGCCTTGGACTTGCCATGGCCTATTCTTGGAAGGTGTAACCCACTCTGCACAGCTCAACCAGGTCCCTACTCCTCTGCTGGACCCTGTAACCACCCTTAGGGTATACCCTCAGTGTGGGCTGGCTCAGAGAGAAATTCGGGGGTGGGATGGAGGTGAGTTGAAGCTGGAAAAATGTGAGGGCTCAGGGACTGTCTCTGCAGTTGGTTGATCTGAGTAGAATTTAGAATTTCGGCTTGAGGTGCATCTTGGAGCTGGAATGAAATAAACCCACTTCTGCATGAACCTCAGATCCATTCAGTGTTTAAAACAAACACATCGGGAACAAATCTCCCATATCCCAAATCTGCATGATTGGGAAGCGGCTCACAGAAAACCTGGGAGCTCAAAAAAGATGAAACCAGTGCTGGTTCAAGTCTATGTGTCCATGTCCCCGGAGCACAAGAGAAGGAAGCAAATGTGCTCTTAGAGAAAAGTCTGATGGCCTGGGCTGCAGCAACCGGCCTGCACTTGGCTACCACAGAACAGCATATTGTCGGCTTGCAAAGCAGGCCACCTTGAAAACTCGGCACAGAGCCTCAAAATGTAGTCATCTCACCTCCCCGTCCCAGTCTGGCAATTCTGCCGTATGTTTAAGCGGCAAACAGTTTTGATTTGAACTTAAAACGACCCTAGGCTCAGTGAAATCTCCTAGTGACCCTAGAATTTATTTGGGCTATGACCATGGCAGGCAGGCCCTCTTTAAGACAAAAGAGACAGTGGAAAGATGAACCCAGCTGGAGACAGTTACTGATGCTTTCTCTCTGATCTGGAACCTTCCTGCTGCCCCGTTTCCATGTAAATTTGGTATTTCAAAATCTCTAGGCACAAAGACTGCTTCCAACACATTTCATCTTCAAGTCTCTTCTTTTTTGTACCATGTTTGCTTGTTCGATGCAATTAAATATTAAAAACTTGAATCAATTTGGCTAGGACTTGGCAAAAATACCCGATGAAAGAATTATAGATGGGTCTTGGAAGAAAAAAAACTTTATTAGGTACCATAATTCTCAGTATTGCTGTTAATATCCTCATCGATGTGAATCAGCCCGCCAAGCCTCAAATACACACACAGCACCAGCACACACTACAGTCTGCCCATGTTGACTCATAGGCTCAAAAACCACCCACGAAGTAGCTGAGGGATTGGAGGCTCCATCTGTCCCAGGCAGGATTTCTGCAGCTGCCCCCAGGCAGCACTCTAAGGTTGGAATGGGGGTGGGTATTATGTAAGTTCAATAGTGGGAGAGAAAATTTCCTTATAGAGGTGGTGTGGATGGGTGCACTTTCTTTGGTGGCCAAGTGCCTTCCAAGTTAGCTATAGATATGGTTGTGTGAGGAAATCTACGGCTTAATATGTGTGCATGGAGATACACTAGCTTCAGGCATGTCCCTCCCTACATATTAATTATCTGATGAAAGTTTCTTGTGTACCCACCGCCCCCCCCCCACAGGGAAGAAATTTATAGAATTTATCACGACATCTGTTAAAGAATCAATTCTTTTCCATTGAGACAGATCTGGGCTGTCTCTGGCAGGGGAGAGAAACATTAATCATTAGTCTTTCGATATATTCCTAATCTATTCCGAGTACATGGTCCCTTAAGAAACACAAAAACTTGTATACCACGGGGACTAAGACCATAGTGAGTATGAACAAACCCAAGGGACTAGGAAAGTGTATTCAGTCATCAAACTATGTCAGCCTTATCCTACTGTTAGATCCTGAATTTCTCCCTTCATTTTAGTTGTACATAATATGCAATTAGAAGGCTCAAATAGACCGGGGAGATGAGCTTGAGAATTCAAGAGATGCCTTGAGAAAAGCAGAGAGCTTCCAGTTGTCTGCATAATTACTGATGGGCATAAAAGGACAGGAAACAGAGGAAGGCGGCAGCTCAGGCTGACCTTGGCTCTGATTCTTCATTTGGTGAAAACAAAAGGGGGCTTGCAATTATACCTGGGCTGGGAAGGTCATTAGAATCCCACGTGCAAACCCCTTCTGTGAAGGGCAACTGGTGGACACAGACTCACACTGATTTGCACAGACTGGCCAGCCCAGAACACTCCCACACACGAATACATTCTGGAACAAGAGTTTCTGCCAGCAATAAAATTAAAATGCACCCTTCCCAGCACAGATCCTATGTAGCAGATCCCAGGCAGGCCTTACGGAAGGTGTCTGCGGTTGGAGCTCTCAGAGAAAAAGCGTATTGAGTTTCTACCTAAAAGGACCTTAACTTGGGGAAGCATCTGGAGGTTATATAAGATGAAGTGAAGGACGAGGGGACATTTGAAGGAATCACGGGGGAAGCAATTATTGGGCAGAGGATTGCTAATGGGGACATTTGAGGTACAGGGGGTTGGGCCATCAGCAGCTTAGGCAATTGCTTGAAGGCTAAATAACATCTTATCGGGCATAGAGGGTGGAGGCGATGGGTACACCCCAGAATGGTACAGTACACTGGATGCTCTCCTCTAACACATTCATAAAGGGTGGGAGTGTCCCAGAACAGAATCAGTTCTCATTTCAAGGAAGGTAGATTTTGAAGGCAATGACTACAATGCCTCTTAGGACAGCCATGGCTAAGGTTTTCCCTTTCTTCCTGGCAGCCCAACTTGCTCTACAGGACTCAGTCAGCAAAATCCCTGCAGTCCCCTGCGGCTTTCCTCCTGCAAGAGTGAGCAGGCTGTGGCTCATTTCTGCAGAGCTGAGAAGGTTCTGGGAAAGCCTATAACCTCAGTCCAGCTAGCTCTAACGCTCCCTTCTGGGACGAAATCTGGCAGTTAAGATGAGATAATCACAAAGACGGACACATAGTAGATACTCAAGAAATAATAAATACTCATGAGTTAACTAGGACAGAGAGGTACTGATCCATGATGGCCTCGAATACTAACTTACTAGACTAGAGGAGGCAGAGGCTTTGGAGAAAAGAGTCCTCCATTAACTTCAATGGATGCTCCTTTAGACCCTGATTACAGTGCCAGGAATCAGATTAAACTCCTAAACATCCTTTATGGGCTTGGCCTTGCAAAGGCAGGCCTCTGGCATGGCAGCAGGGGGAAGGGCTACAGCCTGCTTCCTGGGTGGGAAGGCCAGCTCTTGGCCCCCTTTCCTCCCCTCTGCTGCTGGGACCTGCCCCTCCTCCATTTTCTCCACCTGGAAATTAATGAGTTTAGGTCGGTCACCAGGCCACCGTCCATCTACTGCAGGCTGGCGGTGAACACTGAGCTGGAGATGGGACTGGGTCGGGGGTCTCTAGGACCAGCTGCTGTTTGGGGGCTGATCTGGGAAGCAGGTGCTTCAGGATGAGGGAGGCTTAACCCTTTCTGCTCCTGGACAGCCTGCTTCAAAACAGACTTTGCTCAGACCCCCACCTGTACGCATGCTGTTTTTCCTTCTGTCCCGGTTTTAGGAGCAACGGAACAGCCCTCCCTTTGGGCATACTGTGCCTCTCCTGCAGCTCTGGATCTCTGCCTGAAACTTCAGTCACAGCCCTGAGAAGGCTGGAGGCTGTCCTTGGAGCCGAGAGCTAGCTGTCAGCTTTGATGGAGTCTGAGCGTTGTTCATGAGCAAATTTGCTGGTCGCCTTCATCCCAAGATCTGCTTGAGCTTGTCAAATGCCCACAGCTCTCCACCAAAGTGTGACAAACAGCGTCCCCCAAAGACTAGACGACCAAACCCAAGCAGAACACAATGTAGCTGCAGTCCAGGCTCTGGGGCAGCCTGCCAGTCCCATGGGTACCAGATTATTAGTATTTGTTTAAGGGCAAATTGAAAGCCCAGGACAAAAACAGATAGGAAGGAAGGTGTCGACCTTGTACTATGGGCACGGTCCCAGATGCTAACGCACACTCTTCACTCTCCAACAGCTCCCAGACCATCGCCCACTCCCACCACTACCCGCGTGCATAGATTCGTGTTTCTGTCACAGAATGGGTTGTTTCTTTCCTAGATTCTGTTTGCATCTACACAAGCCCCTCTTTGTCGGTAGCCGCACACATCCCCACCCTAAAAGCTGCGGTGCAAGGCATTCAGCAGCCCGCTGCCCCTCCTGTGGCGCCTGCAGCTGCAGCACTGAGATCTGCCCAGGGCGTTGGGCTGGGTCGATCCTTCCGTGGCGGGCCCTCGAGGACCCAAGGTGCTCAGACAGCCCCATTCTTGGCATTCACCGCGTGCCTTAATTGTATGGACATTTAAATCAAGGTCCGCTGTGAACACGGAGAGAGAGGCCTTTCTCCTGAGGAAGGAAGGAAAGAAGGAAGGAAGGAAAGAAGGGAGGGAGGGAGGGAGTGAGCGAGGGAGGGAGGGAGGGAGGAAGGAAGGAGGACGGGAGAGAGGAAGGGAGGGGGAACGAAAGATAGGAGGAAGGGAGGGGGTACGGAAGGGAGGGAGGGAGGGAGGAAAGGTGAAAGAAAGGGAGGGGATGGGAGAAGATGGAATGAGAAAACGAGGAATGAGAAAGAAAAAGCTGGCGGCGCGTGTGCGTGCGCACTGACAGCGGGGAGGGTGTGTGTGGGGGGGGAACGCGATGAGCTAAGGACCACCGCATCCTTCCTACCGCAGCTCCCCCAGTCAGACAATGAGATAACAGCCACGTCCTCCGAAGGCTCTTTGTTCTCCCGCATCCTTTCGTTTCCAAGCTTTTTCCTGCAAAGGGGAGGGGGTGGAGGGTTCGGGGTGTGGGTGTAAGTGGGAGACGGAGGGGTGCCTCCCTCGTGTTAATTACCCCGACTCCCTCACCCCTCTCAGCGCGCCTCGCCTCCCCTGCAGCTCCAGACAATGAAAAAACATCAACCCCACCTCGCCCCACCGCAGTGAGTCCTTCCCACCCAGTTCGCTCTCAGCTTCGCCTAGGAAACTGAGGGGGGCCAGGGGGAGGGAGACGATGGCGAGGAAAGGGATGGGAAGCAGGGGCCCAACAACCGCTGCCTGAGCAGGGCGTGCGGCCGCCGCCTTTACCTCGCGTGTAGAGTCCTGGTTGCTGCCTGGCCGGGAGTGCCGTAGGGCTGAGCTGCGGCGGCCCCTCACCAGGATCTGTGGGAATCAGCCTTCCGGAACTCTCCTGCTGCGGTCCTCTCGCTTAGTTCCCAAGTGGTGGAGAGGAAAAAGAAAAAAGAAAAAAAATAATAAATAAATAAGAGCGAGGCCCATCTGGCCCCTCATCAGCCTTGTCAAGTCTTGCATACGCTAAAATGCTAATGACCTAGATAGTTCATGCAAAATGCAGCAGGGAGGGAGCGAGGGGGGAGTGAAGGGAGAACGAGGGAGGGAGGAGTGAAGGGAGAGGGAGGGGGAGACGGAGGGAGGAGGGAGACTGGGAAGGGGGAGGGGAGAGAGAGAGAGAAACAGCACCCCTACACACTCCCCACCCCACCCCACCCCTGTCAACCGGCTTTTCAGGGGTAAAGGGTGGGCGTTGATTTAAAAGGTCACTCCTATATAATGTAGCTGGATGGGGTGGGGGAGAGATCCCCAAACCCATGGGGACAATAAAACATTATTTTAAGCCCCCACCCTCTCTGCCCTCCACCACCCTGTTTACATGCAAGTCCAGTCACCTTATGCTTGTACATGCCAATTTCTCAAGACTGTTTTCAACAGACATTCACGTTATCATGCACTACACAACTCACCCAGGCCACCAGAGTGGGGAAGATGCCTCCTTAACCCACAGCCCTCCTTTACCTGGCCAACCCTACCTCCTACTACTGACTTAGTCTTTCAGGCAGTTTCCCACTCCTTGCTTCTTCCCCATTCCCCCTTTTAACATCTCAAAAACAAACAAACAAAAAGCGAGATAGAGGGGCATGTAGGACAAGTTGGACCCAACTGGATCGGATCTGCATTCAGCTTCCCACCCACAGTCTTTACCTAGCGGTGACCCTCTTAAAGCATGCTACAAAGATCAATAAAATCGAGTCCGAATACCCTCAGAGGTCCGCAGGCCCTGCGGGGTGCCCTTGGGCTGCGTTGGTCTCTCCAATCGAGGAGTCAGAGTCCCGAGCGTCCCTTGTCACCGAGCCCAAGACGCTTTGTCCCGGAGTCCGCACAAGATCCGCATCTTTTCTCCTTTAAAAGATACTGGTTGCAGTCCGCAGTGCTTCAGCCAGTCCAAACCAAAGGCAGATCTACTGGAATAAAAAAGAATGGGGATAATATATACACATGCAGATGAATGCGGGAGAGTTGCGGAGGCTAAAGACTGCTCGACCAGCAGGGAGCGGCCTCACTGGCCAAGTCCCAATCGTTTCCTTGTCTGGGGGAAAGGAAGACCTTCGAGCAGGCGCTGGTGGTCGCGCCACCTGGCCGGAGGAAAAGCTAATGATAAAACCAGGCATCGTGGAAATGATCCTGAAGAGAATTAAAAAGCAAAAGCAAAAACAAAACAAACAAACAAACAAACAAAAACCCCCAAACCAGAATCCTCCTGTTGTGAACCAGAGCCTGCGTGCAGAAGAGACTGCACTGCTGTTGTTGGCCGCGGCTAGGGGGAAGGATGCTAGCGCAGGAGGCGAAGGTTGCAGAGGCTGCACCCTCAGATGAATAATAATAACGCGCTGAGAAGTTGCAGTGCAGCTTGGAAATCCAGCCCTGCGCGTGAACTCGCGTCGAGTGCGGATTGCAGGGGATGGGAGAGAAGGGGGAGGAGAGAGGGGGAGGGGGTGAAGGGATAGAGAGGAAGGCAGAGAGAGGGACGCAGAGAATTTAGAGCCTTTTCTTTTAGCCTCACCAAGCTCTGATCTCCTTCACTGTTCTCGCTGGGTGAGGCCGTGGTCCTTTTAAAAATTATTATTCCCTTAACGGATTATTCAGCTAAGAGAAGCCACATCTGCTGACGGTTCCGAAAACAAGAGGATTAGGAGTCAGTCCACAGAGCCCGGCCCGCAGCCCCCCACCCCCTCTGCACCAGCACACGTCACTCTCACTGCCCCCGGGCACCTCCCTCTCCTCGGTGCTCCGGAGGGCTGTGCCAAAGAAAATGCGGATTTGGGGAAAGTGAGAAGTGGGGGTGCTTGCAAGAGCGGGAAAGCCAAGGCCGGAGGTGGCAAATTGCACCCCCACACTTACACGCGCTTCCGTTTATCCGTTTAGATCCCGGGAGAAGGGGGCGCGTTCGCCGCGCCCACACTCGCCTTATCCGCAGTGGTCGGAGCCCTCCAATCCCCTGAAGCCGCCCTGGCTGCCCCACGCCCTGCTAAAGTCCTCTGGGCGGACTCTGGGGTTCAATCCTACACCTGCCTGCATCGTTCCATGTGCTCTTGTTCCCTTCTTCGCCCCCTCGGTGCTGCACCGCGTCTAGCCCACTCGCTGTTTCTTGCGCTTCGGCCAAAGGCTTGGGGGGGGGGCGGCCGGGGACACCTACGCGCCTTCCGCTTGTCAGCCCGAATTGCCCGGTTCCCGCCAGCTGCGGCGCGGACCAGGCGGGTGAGGATGGAGCTGGGTGCTGCTGCGGTTGCGGTTGCTGTCACTGCGGAGAGCGCGCGGCTTTGGGGCGGTGCGGCGACCCGAGCGCCAGTGCAGCCTCCTCCTCACCCCGCCCTAGGCTGGCGTCTGGGCAGGACGGTGATGGGGGTGGGAAGACGAATGGCGGAGGGGGGATGGAGGACCGTAGTCTCTTGTCGTCCCCCCCCCCGCTCCCCCACCTCCGCAGTCAAGGTGAAAGTGAAGGAGAGCGGCGCGCGTGCTCGCGCCTCTAGTTGCGTGCGCGCGCCCCTCCCCTGCCCGCGCCCTCCCGCCCGCCCTCGCCCGCCCGGGCCAGATGGACGGCCGAGATTACAGAGGCACCAAAGTGCGTCTACACGTCCGGCCACCCGTCCTGAGGACGTGGAGAGCCACTTCGGGGAGGCGCCTTTTGTTGTAGTTGTGTGGCTGTGTTACTGTTTTTCCAAGAGCACTGAGTTAGCTGTGGCCTTAAAGAAGGACCCAGAATGAATTGTCCCCATAAGAGCAAACCAAAAAGACCTTCCCCCACCCCGAGCCCCCGCGCCTGCGATGAGAAATCTGTCTTCCCAAAGGGCCTCTGCGGCAGCCGCGAGGCAGCCCGGACCCGCACACGCTGGTCCATCTGCTTTCCCTACGACTGCTTTTCTTTGATGCCTTAAAAGAAAATAAAAAAAACAAGAACGAAGTGTTTCTTGGGCTATGTTGAATTCAGGACACCTAGACATGGGTAGAAGAAGCTCCGGCAGCTAAAGACAAGCTAAATGTGGTAGCTGCCAATGGCCAGTGCAAAGGGTTGTGGCCAAGGCACCTCCCTAGCCAGGATGGATCTACAGGGCTGTCCCCTTCAACTCAAGGCCATTTCTGCTTCTGTCAATTGTTAGGTGTTGGCCCCAACAGAAGAATGGCTGCCATAAGACCTCGCCTACTTGCTTTTGCTTCAACAATGTGCCGCTAGAGGCTTAGGAAGTAAGCAGTTTTTTTTTAATTTCTAGAATTGAGAATCTTGGGAGGGGTTTATGAGAATTAAAAAGCATCCTTGTGACAGATTTTAAATTAAAAAAAAATGTAGCTGGTTGGCAAAGGCCACCACTAGGCTATCTTTCTGGAAACACCTACCACACTGATAACAGTCTCGACCAAATTGCAATTCTCTGGTGGACAAGATCTATTACTGGTAACTTGGCCATACTTTCCACCATTTTTGATAAAGGTTTTTAGATTTAGGATTATTATATGTTCTGTCTATCTTTGGCGGACAATTTCGAACCCCTGCACCAGGAAAGAATGGGGTTGTGACTTGAGGTCCAGTCGGTTTTGAATGAAGACCAACGGGACATGGAGACTGCTGTCCTTTGCTAGATTGTCAGAAAGGCCTGGTTTTGTCTAGCTTGAGGACTGTTTCAATGCAGTTCTCCTGCGCCGTTGCGGCATTGCGGGATGCTGGTTCTCTCATCTTGCCGCGTGGGGCGCGCGCGCACGCGCGCGCGGCTGGGGTGGGGTAGAGTGGGGTGGGGGAGCCGAGAGGTGGTTTTGTAACAGGCTCTGCAGGCCCGAGTGGGAACGCCTTAAATGATGAGCCCAGGGTTAAAAAAGAAAGGGAGGAGGGGGGACGGGGGAGATACGGCAGCTGATGCTGAATTAATAGTTAGAGCATACCCCTGGGACTTTCTCCAACCAGGGGGTCAGGAGTCCTTGCCCCTCCCCCAGTCACAGATTTCATATCTGTTTTTAACCAGTCTGAACGGATGTTGGGCCATTTGTAATGGCTTCTTAAAACCTAAACCCCTGGGCTTAAGGGCTGTCTATGTGCTTGATCAAACTCACCCCAAATACTAACACGTTAAGAAATTACATTGTAACCCCCCCGCCCCCAAATCGGATTGACTGGGCTGTTTGGGGCCCATATGGCTGGACAGCTGTACAGCTCCACTGAAAAGACACCATTGCCCCTCGGATGGGATAAAGCAGGGCTTCCCCAGAGAGCTCAGACATGACCTAAGTATTAGCGTAGCCCGGGGTGAAGACTGAGTTCAATCTTTCTCTCTTCTTGAGGTTAAAATAAAGACAACAGAAATCAAAAGAGGAGCACTTTTGAATTCATTGTGAATGGCATGCCTCCTGCTGGTCCCACCAAAGGAAGGAAGGAAGGAAGACAGAGAGGTGCCCTTCAGCTTAGCACATGCATGAGCATGGGTAAACGGAAGGGACAGGAGACTGGAAAGAAATATATGATTTGCCAAGCCGTGGCATGTGTCAGTGACATTTGTGGTTCCCTATTCAGAGAAGCAGGGTTCTGACCTCAGCTGATGCCCCACTGTTAACCATGAAGAACAACCATCCGAGTGCGATTTCCACGGTGAGAAGCTGTGCTGACAGAGAGAGAGGGGGAGGGAAGAGAGAGAGAGAGAGAGAGAGAGAGAGAGAGAGAGAGAGAGAGAGAGAGAGAGAGAGAGGGAGGGAGGGAGAGGGAGAGAGAGGGAGAGAGAGGGAGAGAGAGGGAGAGAGAGAGAGAGAGAGAGAGAGAGGGAGAGAGAGGGAGAGAGAGGGAATTATGAAATGCAGCCGGGTTTAATTTTTAATATGATGGCGGAGCCTCTAGCGCATTCTTTGCTTGTTTGCATTCAGGAGGAGCCCTTTATCCTGTGGCAGAAATCAAAATAACATTCTGCAGTACTTTTAAATGGCTTTTAAAAAAAGATGTCCTGAAATAGAATATTCTATCACTTACCAGTTTTGGAATACAAAACTCCATCCCTAGTGAAATATTCAGACAAATAAGAAGCCAAGTTTGTTCTTACTTATCTATCTGATACCCCTTGTTTTCTTGAGGCCTTTCCAATAATGTTGGGGGGCGGTGGGGGGGTTATAAACTCATCATCTAAAGTCATTCAACATTGTTTTGGAAGATCATTTCTACAGTGAAACTCCCTTGTCTGCAAGCTTTATATCAGTTTCAGCAGATTCGGAAGTACAAGTTCACATCTTTGAAAATAGCTGCAGATACTTCTGCAGCTACCTCTCTTTCCAAAAACAAAACAGGAAAAAACAAATTTAGACAGAATTTAGATGGGTATTTGGACAGAATAGCTAACTATAGAACCCAAGAGCTGGTTGACTTCTTTGATTAATATAAAAGAAGAAACAAGGCCCAGAGAGATGGAAAAATTCCTTCTGAACCCATGAGGTGGATTTGTAGTAGAACAAAACCCCGTCTCTTCATTTTTTTTTGGTTACATATTTTCTCCTATATCATGTTGTACTTTAAATTTTTTCTTATGATTTTTTGTCAAATAAGCTTAGGGTAACAATAGTCTAAAGCAATGTATGCTATTTTCAAAGTAACTGGAAATGAAGATTTTGAAGGCTTTCCAATGTATAGAAATGATAAAAATTTTGAGGACCTGGAATTACTAATTATTCTGAATTGATAGTTGCACATTGTGAATAATATTGAAGTACTACAGGCTGTCCCATAAATAGACACAGATATGATATGGCAATTAAAATAAATAAATAAATAAAAACCTCTACTAAAAACTAAAAGAAATAGCCTGTTTGTTTAGTGTTTTACTTAGACTGAATTTCAACATTCATCTGTTTCTACTTACATTTCTCTAGTTTTAGTGGTATTTTGGGACAGGTTTAGAAAAATACACAGAGCCAGCTTCTGTGTGTTGTGGGACAAGAGCCTGGGGAAAGTGTCAGGGACTTTGACCTAGTGAGCTAAGTCTATAACATGTCCAGGAAGTAATCATATTAAAGCTGGCACAAGAAGTTTGGGGAAGGACTCATATGCCTGAGATCCTGGAAAAAGCGTTCTTCCACACTCATTCAGAAGGAGGAGTAAGGCCCTTGACAATGGTCTTTGGTACAAGTTTAGTTTATCGCGTGGCAGTTACCAGTCAATTAATTTTGTTTCTGCTTTATTCGATGAATTATTCATAGTGTGTAAACCCCCTAATTTTTAAAGAAAGCCACAAGAAAAACAAACCACGGTTTGTTGGAGGACACTTGTTCTCCTGTCTTCTTCTGCAACATGGGAAGGTGATTTGCAAAGTCCCTGTCCACACCCAGAGTGTAGGATTTTAAAAGAGGAATCCATAGATTCTGGAGGCTGAAAGGTAGTATCTCTTTTTTAAAAATCTGTCTGGCAAATCCTGTTAAGGTTTTAAAAAGCAGAACAAGGAAAACTTAAAGCCTTTGTGTGTTTAAATGTAATTCACTTGATGGTATAGCCCTCTTTGTTTCTGATGACTCTGTGGGTCA